TTTATCCACTCATATGTTGATGGACATTTAGGTTGTTGCCATGTTTTGGCTATTGTGAACAGTGCTGCCATGGGTGGGGAGACATGTATCTTTTTGAATTATAGTTTTGTCCAGGTATATTCCCAGGAGTGGGATTGCTGGATCATATCATTTAAAAAATCCTATTTTTAGTTATCTGAGGAACCCCATACTGTTTTCCCTAGTGGCTGTACCAACTTATATCCCCACCAACAGTGTAGGAGGGTTCCCTTTTCTCCCATTTGTTATTTGTAGGCATTTTAATGACAGCCATTCTGTTGGTGTGAGGTGGTACCCCACTGTAGTTTTGATTTGCATTTCTCTGATAATTAGTGATGTAGAGCATCTTTTCACATGCCTACTGGCCATCCACGTGTCTTTGGAGAAATGCCAGTTAAGGTCTTCTGCCCATCTTTTTGATTGGGTTGTTGGTTTTTCGTTGAGTTGTATGGGTTGTTTATATATTTTGGAGATTAAGCCCTTGTCTGGCCCATCTTTGTCACATCATTTGCAAATATTTTCTTCTATTCCATACACTGTCTTTTTGGCATTTGAGGGCTTTTTGTGCAATTTTTTATGTTTGCATCAGGAAAATTCTTTTGAAGCTGACCATCATGATATGCTCAGAGCAGCCCCAGTGTCACTGGGAGTTAGAATCTGGGGCTGATTTGACACTTGGTCTCATCCAAAGTAGTCCTCATGCTTCAGACTCCCTGACAAACTATTTCTAAATGAAATTACTGTATTTCATAATTTCTAATGAAATTACTACTTAGGTATCCTCTGTCTCCCTGTTGAAACTCCTCTTCACTTTGCATACAGCTGTTGGGAGATAAACCTATATAGCCCTTCCTCTGTGACTAGCTTCTCTTCCTAGTACAGAGATCCACCCTTTCAACCCCCACCAATTCAAAATCACTAAAGGAATTAACTACACGTAGTAAGCTGCCAATAGTTCCTTCTGTTCCTAACCAAACATGCTGTTTCACTTATCAAGGTGAGTCTATTTCCGTTTCCCCTTAAATCTGGGCTAGCCTTCTGCGTCCTTTGATCAACAGAATGCAGAAGTGGCCCTTTGCCAGTTCTGGGCCTGGCCCTCACGGAGCTTCTACTTTCACTCTTTGGGAGCCTTGAGCCGCCATGTAATAAACCTCTGTAACTACTGGGACTGAGAGACAGAGGCCCAGACAACCCGAGCCATTTCAGTTATTCCAGGTGAGCACTAGACACGATTGGAGGCATTTGGGAACATTCCAGCCCCAGCCGAGGTCCCAGGTGAATGCAGCCTTATGAGTGACCCCCAACTAACAGCAGGAGGAGCAGAACTACCAGCTGAGTCCAGCCAAAAAACTATGAAATATAATAAATCATGGTCTAAAGCTTAAAATTTATGCCACAAAGATTTACGTTGGTTCACCGTGAAGCAAAAGATAATCAGAATTTAAACCAGGGTGTTATAATAACTCTCTCAGGAATATTTATATCTTAAATATTTTCTCTAAGAAATAAAAAAGTACAGATCCTTTGCAACATTCAGATAAAGCGGCCCCAGGGAGGAAATGAATAATCCAGCAAGATCATTTTACCATTGTCCAAGTCTCAGCTTAAAAAGGTCTATAATTTATGATAATGATAAAGGGCATATTTGCTAGAATATTTTATGTTGAAAGGCCAAATTACATGCAGTTATGAGCTTTCCTATCATTTGTTCAACTAAGAATTGAATCACAATTTAGAGATTATTAGCAGTACTCTTGTCTGGAAAATCTCATGGACGGAGGAGCCTGGTAGGCTGCAGTTCATGGGGTCGCGAAGAGTCGGACATGACTGAGCAACTTCACTTTCACTTTTCACTTTTACGCATTGGAGAAGGAAATGGCAACCCACTCCAGTGTTCTTGCCTGGAGAATCCCAGGGATGGGGTCGCACAGAGACGGACACGACTGAGTGACTTAGCAGCAGCAATTTTGATAACTACCATCTTACAGTTCCAAAGGTTTTATCTAACCATAAAGAACAAATAGGTACTTAAAATGGAAAAGAAATATCAGGTCTTAGAATAAAAAGAAAGGTTAACAAGTGATCTGGGCTTCCCAGGCGGCACTAGTGGTAAAGAATCCACCTGCCAATGCAGGAGACATAAAAGAGGAGGGTTCATTCCCTGGGTTGGGAAGATCCCCTGAAGGAAGGCATGGCAACCCACTCTAGTATTCTTGCCTAGAGAGTCCCACGGACAGAGGTGCCTGGTGGGCTACAGTTCATGGGGTCCCAAGAGTTGGATATGACTGGTGCGACTAAGCACACACACAAGTGATCTATTTGGATGTCAAAAATTGGCAGCAACAGTTTTATTTGGGTTAGAATTTTTCATTGTTTTATGCACATAAAATGGGAAAGCTACCTTTTGGGGAGTATAAAAATGAAATAAACTAACCACTTAAGCATCAAGCTTTATGGAAGATAAAAATAAAAATACATTTCCTATACTGCCTTCAGATACTTCCAGTCTAGCTGGATGAAGGAAGAACTACTCAAGAGTTTAGCTGTTCAAAGTGTACAAAGTAATATCATAAAGAAACCTGATATTGTCACATTAGTGTCACAGAATTCAGAGGAAGCAAATAGCAGTTGACAGATTTTTTTCTACAATCCAGGATTTAAGCTGTACCTTAAATAATATATATATATATATATTTTTTTTTTTTTTTTTTAAAGAGCAAGGAAAGATGCTTTTTGCTCACCTTGTGTTGGAGAAGACTCTTGAGAGTCCCTTGGTCTGCAAGGAGATCCAACCAGTCCATCCTAAAGGAGATCAGTCCTGGGTGTTCATTGGAAGACTGATATTGAAGCTGAAACTCCAACACTATGGCCACCTGATTCGAAGAGCTGACTCACTGGAAAAGACCCTGATGCTGGGAAAGATTGAGGGCAGGAGGAGAAGGGGATGACAGAGGATGAGATGGTTGGATGGCATCACCGACTCAATGGACATGGGTTTGGGTGGAATCCGGGAGTTGGTGATGGACAGGGAGGCCTGGTGTCCTGCCTGTCATGGGGTTCGTGGGGTCGTAAAGAGTTGGACACGACTGAACAACTGAACTGAAGATGAGCAAAAGCACTTCTAAGGGTTACTGTGACGCTCAAAACATAGTTCAGTAAGATTAGAGAAGTGGGACTTGGCAGTCGGAACCTGCGACAGGCAGAATTCTAAGATGACTCCCCAATGATCTTTCTTGTTGTTGTTCAGTCGCTAAATCTTGTCCGACTCTTTGCAACCCCATGGACTGTAGTCCGCCAGGCTCCTCTGTCCACATGGAATTCTCCAGGCAAGAATACTGTAATCAGGATAGTCCGCGTGGCCCACAGGTTGGTTCACTAGAAGGAAGTGCTTCTCAAACTTTTATGTACATACCAGTCATGTGGGGTTCATGTTAAAGGGTTAAAACCTGCTGGGGACATAGATAAGAGCCAAGAATGTGTTTTTTTAATAAGCTCCCAGGTGATGCCAGTGCTGCCAGTCTCCAGATCTACACCCATGATGTAAGGTAGCCACTAGACACGTGGGGCTATGAAACTCCTGAAATCTGACCAGTCTGAATTTAGATGAGCTGACAGGTGTCATTCAGAAAACTAAGATCATGGCATCCGGTCCCATCACTTCATGGCAAATAGATGGGTAAATAGTGGAAACAGTGGCTGGCGTTCTTTTTGGTAGGTTCCAAAATCACTGCAGATGGTGACTGCAGCTATGAAATTAAAAGACACATGTTCCTTGGAAGAAAAGCTATGACCAACCTAGACAGCATATTAAAAAGCAGAGACATTACTTTGCCAACAAAGGTCCGTCTAGTCAAGGCTATGGTTTTTCCAGTAGTCATGTATGGATGTGAGAGTTGGACTGTAAAGAAAACTGAGCACACGGAAGAATTGATGCTTTTGAACTGTGGTGTTGGAGAAGACGCTTGAGAGTCCCTTGGACTGCAAGGAGATCCAACCAGTCCATCCTAAACGAGATCAGTCCTGGGTGTTCATTGGAAGGACTGATGTTGAAGCTGAAACTCCAGTACTTTGGCCACCTGAGGTGAAGAGCTGACTCATTTGAAAAGACCCTGATGCTGGGAAAGATTGAAGGCGGGAGGAGAAGGTGATGACAGAGGATGAGATGGTTGGATGGCATCACCGACTCAATGGACATGAGTTTGAATAAACTCCGGGAATTGGTGATGGACAGGGAGGCCCCATTGCTGCAGCCCATGGGGTCGCAAAGAGTCGGACAAGACTGAGCGACTGAACTGATAGGTGTAAAATACATACCGACTTCAGAGACATGGTACAAAAATAAATACTTCAGTAGTTTCTATAGATTTCACAATGAACTAATAATATACTCCATACAGTGGGTTAAATAAGATGTTGGTTATCTCAATTTTTTTTTTAAATTATGTTGTGGCTCATGGCAGGCGTTATGTTTTTACGTTTCTACTGGACAGCACTGTCCTAGACTAACAAGCCTCCCAATTGTGAAGCTCCCCCATTGTGAAATTTTCAGAACAAAAGAGAACCTATCCCTTCCCCTAGGTGTTTCGAAAGCATACCTTTTATTACCCAACCATTCTAAACAAATAAAAATAATTTTTAAAAAAAACTATTAATACATATAATATGCTCTGAGTCCTCTCATTTCTGCTGAGGCTCCAACTGGAATACTACTTTTCTCTCTCCCTCTCTCTGGTTCCCACTCTACAAGAGCGTGTCGCGCACAAGAAAACAATAATAAAAAAGCGGTCTCCAACCTGAAGCCAAACTGGGAGAGCGCCTGAGGCAGCGCTTCCGCGTCGCCCAAACAGAACCGGAGGAAGCCCCTTGTCAGCCGGCGGCACGCTCTCGGCTCCTCCTCCTCTAGCGTCGACCTCCTCAAGATGGCGAACGGCGGGGGCCCACTTCCGCTTCCGGTGCGAGTCGCCGGGCCGGGGGGGGGCAAGATGGCGGTGGCAGTAGGGGTCCGCGGCCGGTGCGAGCTGCCGCCGTGCTCCAGTCCAGGCTGGTTCCTCAGCCTTTCCGCCTTGCTGAGTGTGGCAGCTCGAGGGGCCTTCGCCACCACGCACTGGGTCGTCACGGAGGACGGGAAGATCCAGCAGCAGGTAGCGGCCAGGGTGCCCCTCTCCGCCCGCCCGCGCCCGCTCTCGCCCGGGGGGGGGAAAGATTCCCCAGACCGGCCTGGCCGCTGGCTATTTGGCTCCGCGGGGCTCCGCCCCCAGCTTACCTTCCCTTGGTCCCGGTGTCGGGGTTCGGGCGACCCCCGCGCTCTGACCCACCCATTCCTCGCTAGTGGACTGACTCTGGCCTCGGCCGTCTGCAAGTTCTCAGGCTTCCTTCCATCCCTGGGGTCGCGCGCCGCTCCGGGAGAGTTGCCCAGTGGTGAGGGGATCGGGCCCTGGGGACCTTTTCTGGTGCCCTGGCTTTAGAAACCGGATTCATTATTTCTTCCCTGGTGCCTCTCGGGCCCACGCGTCACCAACCCTCCCCAAGGAAGTAGAAAGCAGGTGGCAGCGCCCGGCTGTGCGCGATCCCAAGGAGGTGACAGCTTCGGCCCCCCTACGCAGTGTGGCAGCTAATGCTGCTTCCCCCAGTCTCCTCTCCCACATGCTGGCGTTCGTGTCAGGCTGGGGTGGTTTCAGCTGGGACCGTTACCCAGGTCAGCAGGGGCTCATTACAAACCGCACGCACCCTCTGTTTGCAAAGGAATGCTTGAGGATGCCTCTGGTGGCGTTGCGTGCATCTTTGCAGCCGTAAACTGCCCTGGTTTCCCAGTGTTCTTCGTCCAGTTTCTTTCCTAGTACCTTTGACCCAGCCCCACAAGGAGGATATGTGATTTCTTGGAAGGTTGAATGAATTACTCAGAGGAGAGGCTGCTTTTCTTACGTAACTTTCTGATGGCCTGTATTTTGTGAATGCTGCTGATGCTTGAAGAATGCATGAGTGTGTATTCTGCTGCAGAAACTCGGTACATTTAATGACTTCCAGCACTTGAGCGCAGTCCTGTAAAGTCCAGGGAACATTTACAGAGTGACGTGTGTGCCCCATGCAATTTCATTTGGTCCGCTGGTCCGAAATGTATTAACCATTGTCCTGTGAAAGTCGCGGGTTGTATGTAATGCTTGGTGTGATGGCAAATTTTGTCTTAAATATAATGATGAATAAAGCAGCTTAAAAGTCAGTGTTGGTTCTGGTGAGTGGCTTTCAGTGTATATCTGAGAAAAGACTGACTTCTTTATACCGCGTGGCAGGTTCTCTATACCCAAGTTATTGCATTAGAAAAAATTTCCTTTTCATGGCCATACCAGGTGAGATTTAAAATACGTATGTGTGTTTCAGACACCCTAGACAACACTTACAAATTAATTTCTGACAGAAGATTGGAAATGTTTTCTGCGAGTTCTGGTTGCTTCTGTCCTTCTGTCTCCTAGTAATGGTTTTCCCTGAGGCCCTGGTGGAGGGGGATGTGGAATTAAGTCACTCATGCTGCTTTTGGGGGAGCCCTCTTATGGCTCTTTTGCAGTATTTTTGGCCACAGCTATTTATACCCCCTGACACCAACTTCTCCTTCCCCTTTTGATGTCTTGCTGTTCAGTTGAGAAACTGGCCCATCTGGAAAGTGAAAGCTGGTAGAAATGTAATATGCGCTGAACATTGCAGTGGGAAAGTTGATTCTGATTTGGTTTTTGTTTCTTCAACACAGCCTTTCTTTTTGTACATCGGGTACATATATTTTGGTAGGGAAAGGTGGGAGTTACTAGAAACTTGCTTGAGAAATCTACAGAATCGTCTGGATCTCTTCCAAGTCACCCCTACAGTTGGTAGTTAGGCCTAAAGTTAGGAAAGCAAGATTTCTTTATATATACACCTTTGTTTAGTGATCCTCTTCAGTGAATTGTCCAGTACTTTGCTAAATAACATTTACAGTGTTAAGTTCAGGCAACTGCAAAATTTTATACCAGAAGTAAAGTTGGTAACTACAGTGTAACAGTAAGAGGCTAGGGAAGGGAAGTTGGATTTAATCTGAGGGGAAAGCCCATGTAAATAAAGTGCGAGAGTTGAACATCAGGGTCAGCCTCTGAGTTCCACTCTGATAGTTATGCATGCATTACCCATGCTGTCTTTTCTGGCCGTAATTTGAATGCTGGAGAATCAAAACCTCAATTTAGATTTTGATTAATTATCACATTTGGATATATTTATCAAAGAATTGAAACATTTCTTTAGTACATTAATTTGCATATATTGCAGATGTGGGAGACCTCGGTTCCATTCCTGGGCTGGGAAGATCCCCTGGAGAAGGGAACGGCTTACCCACTCCAGTATTCTGGCCTGGAGAATTCCATGGACTAGTCCATGGGATCGCAGAGTTGGGACATGACTGAGCAAGTTTCACTTTTTCAGGTCTGTTCATACTTTCAGTAACATAACTAATTTAGTATATATGTTGTGTCTTACCAGAAAAGCCAAGCTCCTTGCTATTTGGTTTTGGTTTATTTTCTGAGAGCAGTGGTATGATTTCATTTTTATTTGTTTATTTTGGCTGTCCTGCGCAGCTTCCTGGATCTCAGTTCCCTGACCAGGGACTGAACCCCGGCCACAGCAGTGAAAGCTCAAAATCCTAAGCGCAAGGCCACCAGGTAACCCCGTGATTGCATTTTTAAAGTTGCCTAATGTTAGGGAAAGGGTTAAGGGCAAACTGAAATAACAGACCTTTGCAAATACCTTTTGAAACTCTTCACCCAATATTTAAACCTATCCAGATTAGGTATAATAGGTCATTGTTTTAAGAGTGAATGTGAAGTGCTTATCAATTAAAAATCTGAACTGCCCAAAATACAGACTTAGATAGGAACATTTTCCATCATTATAGTTAGTTTTAAGTACAGTAAGCAGTATTTCCCAGAAGAAGATAACATTGATTTTGGCTTTTCTGTTTCAAGCCTTAGATGATAAAGATAGACACCCATGAGTTGCAGACTTGTAAACCTGCTGTATATATTGGAAGGCCTGAATCTGTAGAGGGGTTGAAATGGGTCTTTCAGTCAGGGCAAGGAAGCGAACATTAGACTTCCTAACGGTCAAAGCTGGGACTGCTTCTGGCGGTAGTGGGTGTCTAGTACTTAGCATGGCAACTCAGGGAATTGTTCCTTTCCACAGTCCCCACTCTGTCTGGGAAGCACACCACCCATGTTTTTAGGCTCTTGTGTTTGCTGAGCCACTGAACTCCGAGGAGCATTGTCCTGGGGATGCTGGAGCTGGGATGTGGAGAGAATGCTCCAGTACTAAGTCCATTTCCCGCTGCAGTCAGAGGACTTCTAAGAAAAGGCCCCTCATCTCCAGCTCTGTGCTTTCTCCAGCCTCTGGGCCTTGGCATACTTCTGAACTCCTAATGTCCCTGTACCTGAAAACTGGTAAGATCCTCTCACTTTTTTTAAGCAGGAGTCCTTAACTTGTGATCTATGGGCTTGAGGTGTGAGATTTTATTATCTAGTTACTAGGAGGATCTCCAGTGTAATCAGGCCAGTGGATCTTTTATATGACTTCAAGATAAATTTTTTGTTTGTTTCATTTTGACAATTCTTTTTGTTTAATTACTAATATGGAGACACCTATTTTCTTTTTTAATCAAAAGTGTCTAGCAATTCACCAGCATTGAAGGTGAAATAAACTGTTGTGAATTAGCCTAAGAACCTCTGGGGTTCGACCCCTGGGTCAGGAAGATCCCCTGGAGTAGGAAGAAGCAATCTACTCCAGTATTCTTGCCTGGAAGGTTCTCTGGACAGAGGAGCCTGGCATGCTACTGTCCATGGGGTTGCAAAGAGTCGGACGCAACTGAGTGCGCACGCACACACACACACACCTGTCATATCACTTCTTTGGAAAAATTTTTGCTTTATTTTCCAAATTAGCAGCTTACAGATCAACTTTTGAAATGTTACCAGTTAGTTGTGGATTTATTGAATCAAGAATTTGAACTTCTAGCACAGGGTTTATTACCTCTGATGGCATCTTCGTAAATAGAAGTCTAAAAACTTAAAAATGTAGAGTATCAACCCTTGGCATTTTAAATTTGGAAAAAATTCTTAAGCAACACATGGTACAACTCCTAGGAAAATCACCCAAAGACATTATTGAATGGCATTTAGTGGTAGCAAGAAGTAAAGATGTATTTATTTGTGGTAACATGAAAGTGAACAGTTTATGCAGTTTGAAGTGGTTTGGTTTCTCTTAACCTTTGTAAGGAGAAGGCAGTGGCACCCCACTCCAATACTCTTGCCTGGAAAATCCCATGGATGGAGCAGCCTGGTAGGCTGTAGTCCATGGGGCGCTGAGAGTCAGGCACGACTGAGCGACTTCACTTTCACTTTTCACTTTCCTGCATTGGAGGAGGAAATGGCAACCCACTCCAGTGTTCTTGCCTGGAGAATCCCAGGGACGAGGGAGCCTGGTGGGCTGCCGTCTGTGGAGTCACACAGAGTCGGACACGACTGAAGCGACTTAAAGCAGCAGCAGCAACCTTTGTAACACCTACAAAGGAAGGAATATAAAGAAAAATAAAAGCAAATGAAGTAAATGTCTTCTCTTTTCCAGTTTGCTTTACCTTTGCAGAATGTTTTATGATAACTTCAAATTGGGGGTGGGTGAATGGAGAAGGTTCCCAAATAGGTGTGAGTTAAGTTGGGGTCACTTAATCATTCTGCCTCTTATCGAGCAGAGTTCAGATCATTTTAACTGCTCAGAACAAATAAGGCTTCCTATAAAATGAATGCTCTGAAGCTTAGCAAACTTGGCAAAGAATAGCTGATGAGCAACTATTTCAGCAACTCCATTATAACCCAAGGAAGAGCTATTATATTTAGTTGGACAAACTGGCTAAATATTTACTGATCTTTACTAGCTTGTAAGTGAAGGAGTGGTTTAATTTTGGTCTCATGTTAAGTGATTTGGTTAATCTGGGAGAGAGCATCCGTTTGGTACTGTGGAGCTAACAACTCCATTTCAGTGTTTTTCAAAATGGAACCCATCTTTTTGCCGTAGAGCACTGTTTCTGTGTCTTTAACGTCAGGGGTTTACTTGGACCTAGAGGTCATGCTGGTTAGTT